ATCATCCTCACCATCACCATCACCATCACCACCACCATCACCATCATCGCACTCACAATCAGCCTCTTCATCGTCATCACCATCCCTCATCGACGTCATCGGTATCCTCAGATTCGTCCCATGTCGTGTCGGGCTTCTGCTTGCTAGAATTACCAGCTGCCTGCCGAAGACCCCGCCATCGCGCAAGCGCAGCATCGACATGGTTCCGGGATGCATTACCAGGGATTCACCGTGTGGCTCCGCGTGGCCTCTGCGGGCCCTTGTGGCGCTGCTGGGCCGTATCAGGCGCGACGGTTCTACCGAGCTCTCCTCGGCGAGCTGTAGAACTGTCGCGGGGTTGTCTGCAAAGGCCCTGGTAGCAGTCCCGGAGCTGGCCTGGCCCGACCTTGGGCCATCTCGGAGGGAGGGGAGGCGCCTTTGGGGGGGTCCTGTGCTATCTTGTAGCTCGCACGGGTGTTTCTCTCCTTTGTGTCCTTCATCCTCCTCCCTGCCTTCCCATCCGCCAATCCCCCCTTCCCCTTCATCTCCTCACTCCGTGCTACCGCCCTTTCCAAGCATCGTGGGCCAAGCTACCACATAACACGCGGGAGCCCACTCTGCATGCCCGACAGCGTGCGCGAAGAGAAGGAAGAGAAGCCGTGGTTCTTTCAACACGTGTCGAAAAGTGTTGCGCAGTCCCAAAACCGAACCAGCAAGCACATTAATGATATGAACGAGGACGAAGGCGAGTTGGACGATGCATCGACTATCATGTTAATGCGCATCTTCACCGTGCATGTGGAAACCAGGGCAAGTACGTCTTATCGAGCACGAGTCTACGATCACGGCGGTTCGAGACAGGAAGCATCAAATCGTGACCGACGTCACCAAGGCGCAAAAGGAATTGTGGAAAGATCGCAAGAAAGACCCGACGGAGGGCTGTGCATGGCCAGCGTGCCAGACAACCTACGCCAGCATGCCCGTCTTAGGAGCTGACAGTGCAAGGACGGTTCGGCGCGAAGGCTACGGCGGGCGTCTGCCGTGCAGATCTTCGCAGATTTGGTCGAGAACGCGAGGCCACAACTTGCGAGGGTTGGGCACGAGAAGCAGCAGTGTCCCCGACGTTCGACGAGCCAGAACAGCCCCAACGGTCGCGTTTTTTGTTCAGCTTGCACGTGCAAGCACTGGTGCAGGACGACGAGATTGGCGCCAAAGCACTCCCTGATGCGATCAAGAACGTCGGCCACCCGCTACGCCAGGCGACACCGTTCGAAATGTCAGCGACGTTCTTCCAGGTGGCAAGCAAGCTTCCGAAAGTCGGCACGACGGTGGGTGAGTTGATCCTCGCCGTTAGCCGTAGCATTGGATAGTGAGGCGATACTGGATCGAAAACCGATGAGTTCCAAGACCCGCCGAAACCACACAGGTCGGCGCATGCTGCCTGTCAGAGCCAGCAGCCCCGACGAAACAACGTTCACATATCGCTCAGGCTGGCGACCAGAGCTAGGGTCAGGATTGCCTGCAGATGTACGGCCAGGCATGTGTGTTAAGCAAAAAACGTTGACCAAATTGACAAGCAAATGTCTTAGCAGTTCGCAAGAGCTTCGGGGATTGAGGGCGGGTGGTTTCTACATCGTTTTAAGAGTTTGCAGGCGTTTCACGGATGGGGGGCGGGCGGTTCTTTCAAAATGCGGTCATCGCTTCAGCGCAGCGCATATTCGCTTCAAGACTCTACAACAGTTTCAAGGATTCTCATTGTTAGCGTCCCAGAAGTGTCGTTGTGGCACAATGTCGGATTATCAGGGCGCAACATCAGGACGCAACGGTTACGTTGATTCGCGATGCCGGAGTCCCAGGAAGGGCATTCTGGCGCGACTCGGAATCGTCAAGGCGCAACAGAAACGGTGATTCGAGGCGCTGGAGTCCCAGGAACGGTGTTCTGGCACAGTTCAGGATTTTCAAACGGCTGTCTTCCAACGGGGGACTTCCCCCAGTGAAGAGAAGTGTTTGTAGGGGGCCTATGAAGAGGGAGCTTGAAGGGAGGGTTCATTGCAATATCGTTGATGAACCGTGGGTTTACACAATTCCTTCTCCTCCTCGTCTTCCTCCTTCTCCCTCCTGTGCTTCCCTCCTTCACCCTTTTCTGCCTCCTCCGTCCCTCCTTCCTTCCCTCCCCGCTCCCCCCTCCCCCATCGGTTCCCGTTGCTCTCTTCCTTCTCTTTCAGGAATCGCTCCCTCCGCCCCCCCGCGCGGGAAGAGCGGCGAGCGTGAGGGGGCAAGCCAGATGCGCTCGCGCCGCATCTGACATCTTACAGTCGGGGCCCTGAAGAAGGAACCCTTTTCGTTGGGGAGGGGCTCCGCGTTCCTTAAGTGTTTCGCAGCTTGCCTCAGGTTTTCCTTATGTGTTCGATCAGAAATCGAAGTTTAACTCATGGAAAAAAGGGGCCTCGTTCCTTATGTTGGGTTCCTTAGGTCAAGCCCCCGACTGTACCCCTCCCATCCCTTCCCATGGCGCGGATATGCTCTCTGCCCGCGGACGCGTGTCATCGCCGACCTGGAACTCGAACAAAGACCCCACCGTGACATGTGTACTCGGGAAAGGGAAAGTTGCCGACATAGGAGGAGGAGGAGGAGGAGGAGGAGGAGGAGGAGGAGGGGGAGGAGGGGGAGGAGATGGCGAGTGAGCAGAGGGATAAGCAGGAGGAAAAGGAAAGGAGGAGGAGGAGGAGGAGGACGAACAGCGGCAACAGGAAGGAACTGGAGTGGGAGGAGCAGGACGACCAGGGGAAGGCAGAGGAGAGGAAATGGGGGGAGCGACAACGATGAAAAAAGACTCGGAGCCAGAAAAGCGGCACGCGCTGGGGCGAGAGCGCCTTTGAACGACGGGAACAGAGCGCCGATCCGAAAAAGAGGCCCACGCTGCATGGGAGCACCATCTTGAAACACCAAAGAGAATCGGATTGCCAAAAACAAAAAGAAACTGTTCAAATCCTGCAGGGAACAAAGACAAGAGGAGAAACAAAACAAAAAAAATGCGGAGAGGTCCGAGCATCTTCTGCACAGAATCAGGGCAGAGAGGAGAGCAGCACGCATAAAGTGCACTTGCGGACGGCCTGCGCAGACGACCCCCCAGAGGTGCGGGTGAGGATCGAGCAGATGAAGCCACCGCCCGTGGGTGGCAGGTGCTCCCCCCCCTATCACCCCCCATCCTTCTTTCCCCCTTTCTCCTCCTCCTGCTCCCCCCTCCCCTCCCCCCCGCCCGCCCTGGGGCAGGTACTGGGACCCTGACGGCAGCCACGAGCAGCCCGTGGCCGAGCCCATGGCAGGGGGCGCACCTCCCGGCGGCCTTGGCGACCCAGCGGCGTTTCGCGACGCTCCCTTCCCCGACGGCCCCGGCGCCCCAGCCTCGCTCCCCGCGACCGCGAGCCTCTACGGCCTCGGCGACCCGGCGGCGGCCTGCGCTGACGCTGGCCCGATCCCCGGCCTCGGCGCCCAGGCGTTCTGGGACGGCACGCTCCCCGAGGATCGGGGGCGGAAAAGCGAGGGGTGATGACTAGGGGGGGTGGATATCATGGCATGGGCCATGATATTTCCCCAGATTTCATGGCGCCTCTTCTTATTTCATTACGTCCCTGGCCCCCCCGCTGGGCCGCGCACATGCCGCCGGTCATGATGTGCACCCCCCCCTCTTGGACACCCCCCTCTTGGCCGCTCCCGAGAGGACCCGGAGGCCCCGTGGGCCTTCGACGAGAGCACCGCGGTCGAGGCGGAGCGCCTCGCCAGCATGGACGGCCCCACCCGCGAGGCCGCCGACGCGGCCCTGCACGGCTGCTCGCGCGAGCCGAGGCCAGCGGGCTGGCCCAGCTCGGACGCGGAGCTGGACGCCGCGCTGCCGCCCGGGGCCGCCTGGCCGCCCCCGCCCCCGCCGGGCTGCACGCCACGGCAGGCCTCGGAGCACAGCCACCTGGTGGCCAGCAAGCTCTGCAGGAGGACCGGCGGGGCGGGGCAGTCGCGCCATGGCGCAGACCAGCGCGCAGCGCGGCACGCAAGTGCGCCGCGCTGCGCGGCACGGCGTAGGCGCCACAGTGCGTGTGTGGTTCGCGCCGCGCGCTGGCGAGCAGTCCCGCGTGTCATCTACACGTGGACCCCAAAGCCTCGGCGTATCGGGCCCGTTCCTCTTGAATCGTACCCCACTCTGAGCGGGTATTATCTTTGCCCTCTACACGTCAATGGCGCGCACACCAAAAGTTGGGGGAGGGAGGGAGAGAGGAGGCCGAAGGGAGGATGGAAAAGAGGAAATGAGGGAGGCCATCGTCAGGCCCGAAAAGACGGGAGGGCGAAAACAATGATTTCCCAAACAGTGTTTGCACTTGGGGTTTCTTACTTGCCTTCTAAGGCAACTGGGTCTGAGTGCCGATCCGGCCGGCTCGTTGCCACCCGTCGCCTTCCGTCGCCGCCGCCGTCGCCGTTGGTATACTATTGAGCCTCAGTGCCGCCCGTCGCCGCCCGTTGCCGCCCGTCGCCGCCCGTCGCCGCCGCCTAGGCCGTTGGTAACTGAGACTCAGTAAGGATCTGTCGGGCTCATCGCCACCCGTCGCCGCCGTGGCCGCTGGATTACTTCGCATTGCATTGCTGCGCATGGCGTTACATTGCTCTGCATTGCGTTGCTTTGCATTGCGTTCGCATTGCTGCGCATTGCTATGGCAATGCTTTGCATTGCATTGTGTTGCATTGATTCGCATGGCGTTGCATTTCTTTGGGCAACATAGATTGCACCGCATGGATTGCACCACCTAGATTGCACTTCCTTGATTGTATGTACCACGTAGTTTGAATCGCATATATTGCAAGAATTCACTGTTTGCGGTCTACGCCGGTTCACCTTGGTAAGTGTCCGACCTGTGGGATAGACCCAATTTGGGAATGAGTCCAGCGAGACACTTACCTCTTAGGAGGGTTCGGGGGCGTCGGAGACGGGGTTGAGGACTGTGTGGGGGGCCATCCTCGCCCTCTCTTTTTTGCTTTCTATGTTTCCCATGGCTGCCCCTCGTCCGCGCACATGCTTCGGGCCATGGTGCAGTAACCCTCTCTTCCTTGGCCTCCCTCTCCGCACGCGCGGACATCATCGACCCTGGCATTCGCCTCCCGCGGGAAATAGTCATCGCCAGGGCATTGGAGGCATGCGAGAAGCGGTCTCAGCGAGTCCGGGGGTTACAGCAGGTTCGGCGACGAGCCCCTTCTACTTATCCAAGCTGGCGGCTTGTTCAAATCGTCAAACAGTGTTGCACATGCGTCACCGAGGTTGGATTCACCTTTGCAGTCCTCGAGCACGACAGGATTGTCGATTGCTGCAACAACGCCGCAACCGGTGCCTTCCTGGGTGGGCCAGTATGCCCGTGTCGGACTGCGGTAAGGCCAGGCAAAGGCGAGCAATCATGGCGAGGCCCCAACGCCAAGTTCGTCCAGCGTTGCCACGACTGGTCCGAGCACGGCGTTGGAATGTACTTCCATACGGTGGCATACAACGCGTTCGCCATATCCACGCTTGGGTACATCGGCCAGCTGGAGTCTGTCCCGCAAGAGACATTGCGGCTGAAGGAAGCTGGGCTCAGGGGACGCACAAAAGACCCGGGAAGTGGGCTGTGTCCGATGATTTATGGCGCCTGCAGGAACATTTCGGACAGTCGACCTCGTGCCGCAGCGCTTCCCTGACCACCAAAGCCGCGCAACTCCGAGTTCGGGTGTGGGATCGGGCATGCACGGCGGCCCACTATCAGCGCGAGGTACGAGACCTTCAACAAGCTCTTGCACGCCCGAAATATCTACACAACCGGACGCGTCGGGACGATTGGTATTCCAAGGCATTTGCAGTTACCATCGAAGACAACCTACAATGGTTCACGCATCATGTCTGCGCTATCGAAGACATCTGCAGTCCACAGAGCAAGCCAAGCGACGACCGCGACCGCGACGGCGAGGACATCGCGGACGACGGCAGCGGCGCCGACAAGACGACAACGAACAACTCCAGCACACACGCCCCTCCCCTGCGCCCCAAGCCACCTTCCAACGACGAGCTTACCAGAAACTACTCGCCCACCGAGCCCCGCACCCCAGCCACCGCATTCGCTACAAATTCCAGCGCTGGGACCTCCAAACCGCTGCAACGCACCCACCGCCCCCAGGAACGAGCTGTCGGTGCACAACGCCTGCCTGGCAAGCTCGCCGGGCTCTGGCACATCTCCAACTGCTTTCGACGCTGGCCCCTCCGCGGGCCTGCGCCGCAGTATTCGGCACGCTGCGGAACAGATGGTGCACGTACAGCC